GTTGATTTTTTACTAAAGCTGTTCAATTTATTTTAATTTGTGTGAGTTCTAGTAAAATTATTTTAAATTTTGTTATAGAATAATGTCAAAATTAATAAATTCTCACTGCGCATGCGCTCCTTTGTCACTTTCTCTCATTCTCTCTCTCACTCTACGTTCTTTTCGAATGTGCCATTTGGCGGCGGCAAGAACGTGGCCTCTTTAGCTCAGTGGTAGAGCGTTGGTCTCGTAAACCAAAGGCCGTGAGTTCAACCCTCACAGGAGGCAACTAGAAGTGATAACTTTTTTTTAAATTCCATGCATCTTTAGCTAAACCCTTTTTTTTAATAAAGGTCTGGTTAAGGCTCCGGTTTAGTTGTCATTAAACTGTTTTGGTCAGTACAAAACCGTAAAGAACAAGCACACTTTGGTTTAATAACGCTTAAATTCCCATAGAAAAAATTTAATCTAAACTGGAAAAAACAAAATAATTTTGTTTTTGTTCTTTCTAATGTGCGATCACTGTATTTAGTATAACCAATCATTTATTTTAGTAAAATACTAAACTTATTAAAATAAGCAAATGACTCACGATCGGTCACTGAAAATTCTAATAGCATGCTATCTCTTTCTTTGAACAGCTCACAGCGTTATAATGTACAAGCTATTGGGCGGCGATCCCCTCGTCGCCTCTTTAGCTCAGTGGTAGAGCGTTGGTCTCGTAAACCAAAGGCCGTGAGTTCAACCCTCACAGGAGGCAGCATATCGGTAAACGTGTTTCTTTTTTTTTAACAAGGAGAAAAACTATTATTTACTAAATTTACTTGTATTTACAATAGGTAAGTATGTTAAGCTAAAACTATGTTTTAAAATCTAGGTATTCATCGTCTTCTGACTAAAATTGAATTTTAAGTTTAACATTGCGCGTGAGAAATCGACCCTGAATTGTTTAACTGTAATTTTATAACATACTTATCTCAAGTCTTAATTTGTTTTTGCATCCTAATATTACCCGTTTGCTCTACAACATTTAATATAATCAATATAATAGTGGTAGCTAATAAATTACAAAAACAAGTTATTTTTATTGTTTTACGTTTTCGAGCACCCACTGTATTGAACACTCAAATATTATAACAAAACACTGTTTTTATTATATAAAGAAACAATCTCACGATCTGTTCGCCTGATATATCTAACAACCCTCTTTTGTTATCTCAACTTGTCGCTCACTACACAGCGTTGTTACGTATAAGCCATTTGGCGGCGCTCTCCGCATCGCCTCTTTAGCTCAGTGGTAGAGCGTTGGTCTCGTAAACCAAAGGCCGTGAGTTCAACCCTCACAGGAGGCAGCTCAATACGAAAAAGTTTTTTATGTTTTTTTACTTTTATATTATTATGTTTTTAATGAGTTTATCCTGTATTTTATATATTTACTCTTCATGTAGGTATACCGAGGAGAAAGGTTGAGTTTGTTTGATTTTAAGGGGCCTTTCATTTGGCTTTCAGGGTAGTAACTCGCATGAAAGGCATGATTATAGTTCCGCTGCTTTTCTTTGGCCCAAGTGTTATTTTATGACTGCCGGTACTAACACATTGCACTGTTCACACGCACGTGTGGGCCTTTAAAACTAACGGCAGTACGAGTTGTAAATAGGGTTTCGGGGCCTGTATGGTGAATGATGCGGTCATTATGACCATGTATCTGCGTGGGATGCTGGGAGTACGAACATATGTGGACGTGCAATGACTATGTACTGGTTCACACTTATGTACGTACGAAGCTTACTCGCCTGTTTGTGTTTGAGCGATATTAGAGAAAATGTTTGCCAGCATATAAAAAGCGGAAATAAAATAAATTTAAGCAAATTGCAAACATGGCAGCCAATACACACGTCCATTGACCATAAGCACGCACATCTTAATTGCACTTATCTTCATTCGGGTTCCATTATTGGCACAGTATATCATTAGGCTCTCAGGATAGCCGTAAATCAATATATTAATTTAATGGTCGCAACTAATAAGGAACTGATAATTATGAACTTATGAACTTAGTTTATCTTTACCCATAAAACTGTCTGATAATCCTCTTAATGACATTAGCTTTCCGCTCTTCGCCTAATGAATCTATGGGGAAGTACGTATGTATGTTATTGTTTTATTATTATTAAAAGCATAGCATTTGTATTTGTATTGAGCATTGTGGTCTTGGAGGGGTTACAAATCATAACTTCCCACTTAAATTATTTAAATTGTTAAAGCATTTTTGCAGCAATCGTCCTGGCGGCCTTTTAACCTGAGTTAAATAACCCTTAAATAATACTCCCATTTACCCAACCTATGCTATGGTAATTAAGGTGTAAATTGGGCCCCATTAAAGTAAGCCACACTTTCCCTTTCGCTCGGCAATAAAGGTAACCATCGTGCACGAACCCAGTTAAGTCTGAGCAGCTCAAACTTTTGTAACTCTTTGCGTATTCGTCAGCAGACAGGATCCCTTATTGAGGACGGATTTAAGTAATCTCGCCGCGACCGATGCTAAATTTATATTTATGAATTAATAAAGCAAGCAGATGACACTTTTGTTGTATAGCCGCCAGCTGAGGACGGATGGTTTGGGGACCGCCTTTCCACTTTGTTTTGGGACTAATTGAAAATGACAGGGTGCCTGCGCTTTTCTGTTGCTGCCAGCGGTTGAGCACCGGGAAAATGTTAATCAACTGGGCATCTTGCCTATGGAAAAATCAAATCAAGGTAATTTACCGTAAGAGACAAAAAGGCATCATTTCATTTCCCAGGCTAAGAAATTGACAACACATCCGTCGCCTTTTTCACTTTGTCATCGGGTATGAGTAAGTGTTTCTGTCTGTGTGTATTTAGAGAAAAATGTATATTTTATTTTCATATCAAAAAATAATATTTAAGATCCTTAAAATAAATGTTCTATACAAAACATTATTTTGTTATGATACACTAAGGATCAAGATCTTATATTTTTAGATAAATCAGAACAAATATATAATTTGTGAAAGATGTTTTTCCTTACAAAAAATTGTACTCTATTTTTTTTAATTTATTTTTATTTTTCTCAGTGTAGTGTGGAGTTAGGGAGGCGAAGTATTTGCTCTGTAATTTATATGCGCACAGCAGATACGAAAAATTCACCGTCGAGTTGGCTGCTATCTTACCTCATTCTAGACCCGCTATTTGCATATTGTGTACATCTTGAGTTCGCACAGTCAATAACCGTCTTCCCCACGTCCTTCACGCAGAGACTACCCCACAGAAAAATATATCCTGGCTGTTGCTTAGTATGCAGGTGGCACGTCAGCTCATCTCGCGATCTTTATTCTGGGTCTGCTTTTGGGCACTGCATTTCCGATTGGCGCCAACTTTCGCCTCCATTTTATTGGTATACCTTTTCGAGCTCTGAAGCACACACTTCAACACGTTGAGCCCCACAAAACAGGGAAATTGCAAAAAACAAGAAAGCATTTTCCCTTTTAATTTCAGCATTTCTCGCAGCCACTCCCCCATTTTTGTGTTTTTGCGTTTTTGTGAGGCAGGACCTAAGAGTCGAGTGAAATGACTGTTGCCTGCTTTGAATTTAAACAAATGCGGAATTGTTGCTGCCGCTTTAATGGTCGCCTTCATTCATCTACCCGACTTTCAGCTATTTATATTTCGACTTTTATTCCAGCCAACTTTTGGAGGCTGATGTTTGCTCCATTCGCAACCCCTCCCAGCGCAAAAGTTCTGTTTGCCATTGTTTGTCCTCTTATTTTTGTTGGCTCGACTGGGTTGTTTGTTTTATTTTCAATGTATATTTGATTCCTTTATGATTGTGTTTGCATTTTTGTTTTTATTTGTTTAGCCGTCAATTTTAATGAGCTGTCGCGAGTTGGGAGCTGGCAGCTCATAAATTTTACATTCCGCTATCAATGTCAGCGAATTTGGTTGGCGAAAAACCCATAATTTATTCATCGGATTGAATAATGCAGCGCACAAATTTCGTGGGCCACGGCCTATTAATTAGCGAAGGATAAGCAAATAAAAATAAGCAATTTACCCCAAATAGGATCCTAAAAATTCACCTGCACCCAAATCAACTTCATTCGTTTTTGGTTTCTTTAATTTATTGTTTGGTTTTCGCTTCTCGCAAGTTATACCTCTTTACATACATATGTTTGCTTAGTCGCACTTTGATAGGCTATTTTAGCAGTTTTACTTTGCGCTTCTCTAAATACATTTTACATTTCGTTTTAGTTAATTTAAATTAGTTTCAGTTTAATTTAATTAATGATACAATACATTTCCGTCGCCTTGCCTCTGCAATTTGGATTCAATTACATATAATACTAAACATTTATAAGATACTTTCAATATCGACAATTGTTTTAATATATAATTAGGTATATATATATATAGATATATGTGTATAACGATTCATATTATCTGTGTAAGAGCCGTGAACTCACATCGAGCCAGGAGTCGGTATATAATGGAGCCTAATAGTTTTCTCATGAATATTACCACGTTATTGCTGATGATTACATATATGTGTTTTTGCAGCACGCCTCCTTACACACGATTTAAAGAATTTATAGTTTTATACAATTTGTTTCGTATATTTCATGGCTGTTTTGTTTCAATGTTGCGCATCGGCATTTTCATTTCAAATTTCCGCCCATAAATTCCCCTTCATGTGGACATGAATTCAGCAACAAACCTGCGGAAATGTCGAAAACGCGATGCGAGATATGTCAGCGAAAAACATTTTCATGAATTCGCTCCGTAAATGGATAAAATCAATAATAACAGAGGGGTTCCTAAAGTTCAGCAAATTTAGTTTCGTATGTGGTGTCGTATTCCCATCGTGATTCTGGAAGTCCTTGTGACCATTTGGTTTTTGGTTTTTTGTTTTTGGTTTTTGGCATTTCTCATTACAGTTTACTAATAAATCATAAAATCGAATGGGGATAGCTTGAATGAGTTTTCTCATTTCGTTTTGTCAAATGATGAGTGGTAAATGATGATTGCTTTTCTGACAGATGAAGGGGGTGTATTTTATGAGTGGCTCAGCTATTTTCTAAAATGCACTATTAAATCATTTCCAATTGTTGCGCCAGGATTCTAGGTTTTATCGCTCCTTCAAAAAATGCCTGGCCAAACGTGGCCTACAAATCCGGCCATATGCTTGTCCCAAGCCATTTTTTAGAATCGGAAACGATTCAAGAGTTATTGCAAAATGGGCATATCTTATGACAGCCGTTGTTTGGTTTGTATTCGTATTTGTATAGTAAATGTACTTCTCTAATATCGATTTGTGTTTGAGTTTTATGGATTGCAGGCTGCTTTTCAGCTTCGGTCAACATATATTTGGGGCCACATGTTGTTCGCCATTATCCTATTTCGCTATTTGTATTTTCTTTACTTCAAGTTTCGACTTTTATTAGACTAATAAAACTTTAGATTTAGCATTTGCTTGAGTTGTTTGCTTGTGGTATCTGTTGCTACAATATTTCGTTAATTTTCAAAGAGTAACCCGTATTTCAAATTGTTCAGTGTGATTTCAGTGTGATTGATTGACCACAAATACGTTTATCCAGCTGGCGAGGTTACCCTTGCCTCGTTTGAGTTTATTTCATTGGATTTGATCTGTTTAATGTCTTCCTCTCATCTTGTTTACACTGCACTGCATCAACAAAAGTTGGGGCTAATAAAATGTTGGCATTGTTTTTGGTATTTTGTTATTTTCTTATCTGCACTTGCCAAATTGTTTTCACTTGTTGTCAGCCAGTAAATCCGAATTCATTTTCATTCATCAAAGAGCTGCTTGTAATATCCAATTTATGGGGGCCCACCGTGATTTATAGATAAACGTAAAGCAAATAATTAAATACACACTCGCTCATTAAGTTACCTATGTATGTCAACAATTTTCTAGACTTAAGTGTGGATTGTTAGTTCAATTGTACATTTGAAATGTTCCCATTTGTATATCAAGAGGTGGGTTGAAACTCAAGCCATTGAATTCTGTGCGGCCTCCTTGTCTCGGCCATTAATAAAGGTTAATCCGTGGAATACTGATGGGTATGGCAAAGGGGGCTTATGTCGAAATGAGTTCCGCACAAATGAAAAATAACGATACAGAGCTGGGGTGCCTGGGTAGGGTGCCTTCAAGTCGTAGTTCCCTAATCCCGGATGAAGACGAACTCGTTGTAGTGGTTCCAGCGATTCTCCTCCGTGTCCACACCCGGTTTGGGTTCCGCCGCCGAGCCGGCGGTTCCGGATCCGCAGCTTCCGGCCAGGCGGTAACCATGATCGTGCAGATTATCGAAGGCCTGCTCGATGTAGCAGTGCTTCAGGAAGAATCTCGAGGTGTACCGATCCGTACCGCCATGATCGGGATCCCGCGACTCATTGAGAGTGTCCCCAAAGACCTCACGGCACTGGGCCACACGTCCGCAGACCAGGATGCGCGATAACTTTCGGAACTTGACATCGGCCAGCCCATCCTTGCCAAACTGGAAGCTGCCACGGTAGCCGATGGTGATGCAGCCCGGCGGCCGGGCATCCCGCTCCCCGCGGATGCACTCCAGCATGGCGGCCAGCTTGAAGTGCTCCGCCTCGCGCAACAGCCGCTGGCGCTCGCGGAATCCCTCGGGCAGGTGCAGCGCCTTGTCGCGCAGGAAGTCCAGGATGTAGCGGAAGAGGACGCCGTCGCGGTCCAGGAAGTAGCGACCCTTGCTGTCCTTGGCCAGCGAATCGCGACCCTCGCCGAAGAGCTCGGCCAGCAGCGTGGTCTTGTCCGCCAGCAGAGTGGCCAATGTGGTCGTGTAGCTCACGCCGCCCACATTAAGCTCCACGATTTCGGGCATGATTTAAAGGGTTTTACCACAGATCGGTTGCCAATTGCCAATTTAATCTAATCACACATACGGACCAGCACTCGCGAACACAGAGCTCTATCAACACTATCTGGGGTTTGTTTACAGGCTCTTCTAAGGCTGTTTGGGTCCTTAAACGCGTCCGCACTCGTTCAGGTCTCGTGTCGAACTGAAAGGGGAACTTCTGGCCAGGCCAAAAGCAAAAGCCAAAACGCTTTTCACTCGCCCGTTGGTGTACATCTGTGTGTATGCATTGGGGAAGAGGCGAGATTTTCCTGGAACTTTCTCTCTTTATCTCTCAGATTCTCTGGCCTGCGCACTCGCTGGCAGTGTTATGATATTGGATATTATTGTTTAACAAGTGGTTAAATTTCTAAAATGTGCACGGTTACTTCTGGCAATATGTGGGTGCTCGAAGGATTGCCCTTCTTTTGGCGCCCGCATGTTATTAATTTGACGAGGGTCCGCAGTGCGTATGCTTAATGGCCAATATGCTGGATTACTCGGTTCGAAGCGGTTGTTTAATGCCAGTGATGCTGCCTAAATTTTGGAGCATTAGCATTCGGCTGGCGCAAAGTGGGTTCCAGCTTTCAGGGGGCAAAGTTCGCCAGCCATGTCATAACAATTTATGGCACATGGCATGCTTTAAGGCGTCGCACATACTTTGTGCCTCGGCATGCCAACTATCCTGGTTTATATTTTTTTAGGGCATGTGGCATGAGAGGGGTGAAAGGCTGCGCCGAGTGGCAACAGGCGCTGACAATTTGACACCGTGACACTGACATTAACATGCCACAGCAGGCCATGCAACTGGTTGGGCTGGGCTGGCTGGGCTGCCTTGGCCAGTTTTGGCCTCGTGCCAAATGGGCCACTCTGCCCTCGGTTTGGGCCACACCAGCATAGCATAGTACCCGAATACCAGAATGCCAGACTGCCTGGCGGAGGGCTCACCTGTTTGCTGTTGCTGTGGCTGCCGCCCTTCGCTGTTAACATTTCGCAAAATGTCCTGTTTGCCAGGCCCATGCGTGCCACTCGCTGCAATTGAATCAACAACAGCGGCAATAACGAATTCGCAGCTCTCTGGCCTACTCCCCCAAATAAACCCTTCCTCAACAACTGCGTTAGCCCTTTGACACGGCCGAGAAGAGCTGGGGATACACACAGACACAGGCTGAGAAAATATTTAGATAATATGTGAAGTTCGCAACTCAATCCTTTTCTTGAGGTATCTGCGTTTATAACAGTGTGTTACTCATGAACAAGAATTATACTTCATTATTTAGGAAATCCATTAAAAGGACATATCGCTCGACAGCTTTTGTTTACTGCCTAAAAATATTGTTCTTATAATATTATAATCTTGAACAAAATAATTATTTTCTAATCATATGAATTAAAATTCTAATCAAAACATAACTTAATGTACCTATCAACTAATAATTATAGGATACTGAGATGATTTAGTAATTTGTATTCAGATCTCTTTATAAATCGATCCTTCTACACTTTTTTCGAAATCTTCGCTTATTAAATCTTCAGGAGAAGTCAATTTATTATCTTTTATGGGCACGGATTTATTTAGCTTCTTCAGAAATATACGCATAAATAAATGTAATATAATTTGTTCTCTGTGTACTTACCAATACACAAGTCTACTGCTAATTGCAATGAAAACTTGGCTGTTGTGGGTTGAGGTATGGCTTTTAGAGCATTCAACCCGCCCGAACCCCTTCAGTTTGCGGCCATTCGCTTGCTTACTCCGCACATTTCCGTTTCCGGTTGTGGCTGCTGCGGTCTCTCGCTTCCTCCTTCGCCGAGTACATATACCCGTCTCACTATCCGGCTAATGCTGCTGCTGCTTATCAGACCCCCGCCCTTTTTGCCTGCCCTTCAAGGCTTTCGCGGCCATGAATTGCGGTTTTTGGCACGCATTAAGATGGCGCAACACTTTACGCGCCATTACGCGCTGCATCCGTGTGTGTATCTGTGTGTGTCACTCTTTGTATGTGCTTGTGAGTGCTTGTTCGTGTGAGATGGCTTTACTCCCTGGCGGATTCCGTGGTTCCTTTCCGTTTCTGTCCATGTCGTGAATGCTCCTTGTTTGTCTGGCTGACTGGCGCGATTCAAATTGATTTTGTCTGGCGACCGCCTTCACCCACACAAACACGCGCTTGCCACTTTGTATCTGTGTGCGTGGTGCTGGTTGTATCTATGTGTGCTGGGCTGGAGCACTTTGTTTTGACAACACGCCAAATTGTCGCCCCTCACTTAGCCAAAGCAGTTTGCATGCTATTTCTGGTTTGTTTGCCTGTTTACCTTTGGGGACTGTCAGTTCCTCGGAACGCCAAGATGGGTTCTAATGGTATGGGTGAGCCACCTAAGCGATAAGGTCTGAATGGAAGCCCTTCGAGGTATTGTGCCTTTTGAAGCCGCACACTTACGAACCTGTTATGACCTCGTCGCTGCCATTTAGGGTTCTCTAGTTCCCAAAATAAACTTTCGCACACCAAGGCTTTCCTTGTGCCAATCAGATTTCCAGTGCAAATTGTGCATTTGATTTCCCTGGATAAATTTGGCACATTGGCATTGACAGAGCAAATAAAATTGGCATGCCCGAAAATGCAAAACAAATGAAGTCAAATCAGCAAAAGCTTCAATCAACAACAGTCGAAATATTTCACACCACCCCACACATAACAGGCGGTTTTAAACCGATAATCCTATTAGAAAAATGGCCAACAATCATGTAGGTCAAGGAAAAATAAATCAACTGCCTCTATCAGCTATTGGAAATGCAGATACTCGATGAGTTTGAGTTATTAAATCATTAATAAGTAAATGATTTTGGAGAGACTTTAACTTTAAAGGTATAAATATATTATATGTCAGAATGAGAAAGTTGTTGAGGCTTAAATGAGATTCAATTTATTATGATTAAATGTAACCCATCATAGTTTAATGGTGAAAAAAAAATAAACTTAATTTATAAGCACTGTTAGAATATTAATAACAACTTTGTAACATTTTTTTGATATAATGCATAGATTGGTAGACTTTTTTAAATGGACTTCCGAAGACTATGATACATTTATGATAAAATGATACTTATTTGATGATGTTTTCCACATTAAATTTTGGTATATTTCAGAAAGTCTTGAACCAACGTTGGTCTATAGATTGGCCGCGTGTCTGGAATGGATTTGCGAAAGACTTGCACTAATTGCCACTAGAGTACTCAGCCCGAGCACTTATGCAAATGCACGCAGTAGTGCCCGTGTGGTTAAGTGAGCCCCAGGATGTGGGTCCTGGTATGCGTGTGCATAATGCCAGCGATTTGCCTAGCTTAAAATGCACGGCCAGGCACGCGGCGAGTGCCAGAATGTAGAATGCGGAGTGCAGAATGCATGCGTATCCTCAAGATACATTGACGCCGGCACACGGTTATGTAAATGCAAATGCGAGCGCATGGCTGCTGGGCAATTTAACACCACGCAGGTGGCAAAATACAAGCTGCAGTGAGTGCTTATGGAAAACAGAAGCTCCTAAGATACCCTTACATTAACCACTACCATGGATATTCAGAACTCTAAGGAGATTAATGAAAGTACTATAGATAAAGTTATAAATTACGGTTTCTGGAAACATTGATGTATAAATATCTATTTTAACTCCCAACATCTTTAGCATCTTTTCAAAAAGAATGTGCAATCAAAATCCCTTGGCAACTGCTGCAAATTTTCAGCTTGACTTCAGAGGATAAATTCAAGTGGTGGCTTTAGTTTGAGTTGTCGAGCGATCGGGGATTCCCAGCAGCTTGGCAGGCGGGACTAAGGGTCGTTAATTTTAAATGCGCAGCTCGGGGATAAATGCATCCTGGGCGGCAGTCACGACAGGTGCCTGCTGTTGACGTAGACGTTGATTTTATTCACTGCTGACAGCAACAGTTTGCTGCTGGCGAACATGCCCGACCACGCCCCTCTTCCTTGCAGCCTTCGTCCTTCGACGGCATTGTGTGTGTGTGTGAAGGACATGCCCGAAAGTGGGAAACACAAAAACCTTCCGGCATTGCTGGCAGTGTGTATGCAAGAGCTGCTTTTTGTAGCAATTTTTACATTTCAGCCCTACCATCATTATTAAAAATAAGAGATGCCTCCCCTGCTTTGCATGCTCTAAATGGATTATTCAAAGCCTGGCCCATAAATCGTGCTGGGCCTTCAAAAAAATCCACAAGTGGGTCGCACGTCCCTGGCTGAAGCAATAGCACTTCCAGATGGCATCCAACCATTTCACCGACCAACTATCCAAGTGAAATGCAATGAATTTGTTTACAACCATTGCGACAGACCCTCTTTTTCCCCCAAAAAAATTTTCTTTTATTTTTCCACCACTTATCGATGCTTGTTGCACGTCCATGGAGCCACAACAATTTCGGTGGAAAGCTGTTTCCAATCTCTCGGCCCCTTTGGCCAGCCACTGCATTTGGCTATTTTCGTTTTCGCCTTGTTTATTTATGTTTCTTGCCACCCTATATACCCATTGCCATTCATTCGGCTATCTGGCATTCAGGGTCCAGTTCCATTAGCCATAGGAATTGTATGCTGTGCACGTTTTGTTGCCACGGCGGATTTATTTTCCAGCACAGTCAGGTTTTTTTGTTCGTTTGGATCCATTTCAGGCTGCCCTGTTAAATTGGCGCTAAAAAGGTGGAGCTTATCTAATTAATCTGGCTAACCACTGGCTCAGAGATTCAACTCCAATGAAGCTGAAGTAAGATTCAATTAGAGAAAGTTAAGGAAAAAGTTTTTGCCTGCGCCAAAAAAGACTTTCATTCATGAAAACCTCTAAGAGGTTAAAAATACTTAAGGCGAATTTATCAGCTGATGCCGCATCTGCAGCAGATTGCTTTTGGCCGTATTTTCGTGCTCTTAGCCATTTCAATTCGCATTCCCGGTCGCGGCGTACAGCCTGCAGAAATATGCAAATTTAGTTCGGCAAACAATCGCGCAATTAATTGGAAATAATTGCGGAATTTTTAGTGCAAGCAAGCGGAGAAAATATTTATGAATTTTTGATTACAATTTGCGGTGAACGCGTTGCGGAAGATGCAATTTCGGAGAATGATTTCAGCAGGAGCTAGTTTTCCACTTCACTTCATC